GATTTTCTGACAAAATTACCAAGATCTGAAATTTTTGTTCCGGGTATCTCGTCCAGTCGTTTGAGATGGCAGAAGACGGGAAGTTCCGAATTGAGAAGTTCGATGGTACAGATTTCAGTTGGTGGAAGATGCAAATTGAAGATTTGCTGGTTCAAAAAGATTTGGACGTGGTTTTAGGTGACAAGCCAGAAAAGATGTCGGATGCAAATTGGGCAGGTTTGGATCGGAAAGCTATGTCCGTGATCCGTCTCTCGTTGACCAAGAATGTTGCGTTCAACATTCTGAAGGAGAAGACAGCGAAGGGAATTATGGACGCGCTGTCCAACATGTACGAGAAGCCATCTGCAGCGAACAAAGTTTTTCTGATTAGAGAGCTGGTGAACACAAGGATGAAAGAAGGCACTTAAGTTACCGAGCATATCAACAAGTTGAATTCGATCTTAGCCAGACTATTGTCAGTGGGCATTAAGTTCGATGATGAAGTTCAAGCTTTGCTACTGTTATCGTCTTTACCTGATAGTTGGTCCGGAACGGTTACAGCAGTTACCGGTTCAGTGGGACCCGATGGATTCACCTTTGATCAGATTCGAGATCTCGTTCTTGGCGAGGATGTCAGAAGAAAGAGTTCAGGGGAGTCATCTGGTGAATTGCTTCATGTTGGTAGAGGTAGAAGAAATAACAGAGGTAGTGGGAGCGGGAACAGATGAAGGAGTCAGTCGAAGACTCGGGATAGCTCAGGTGTAACATGCTGGAAGTGAAAGGAGGTGGGGCATTTTAGAAATCAATGTCCGAATGATAAGAAAGTAAACATTGCTCAAGGCTCTGCGAGTGACGAGGAGGTCGCTCTGACTTGCTGTGAGGAAAGCAATGTGGATTCCTGGGTCATGGATTCTGGTGCTTCATTTCATGCTACCCACAGCGGTGAAGCATTGCAGAATCTAGTTTTTGGAGACTTTGGAAAGGTACGACTAGCAGACGATAGACCTCTTGAAGTGACGGGCATGGGTGACATGGTGTTGAAGACCCCGGTCGGTTTCTGGACTTTGAAGGATGTGAAAGTTGTTCCAGCCTTGAAGAAAAGTTTGATTTCTGTTAGGCAGTTGGACGAACAGGGACACGAGGTAAAGTTCAGAGATGGGCAGTGGAAGGTCGTGAAGGGAAATCTTGTCATGGCCCGTGGAAGGAAGAGAGGTTCGTTGTATATGGTCGAGTTACCATCTGAGGGAG